GGGGGGGGGGGGGGCAGATCGAGGACCCTGAAGTGAGGGAAGGTGTGGGACACAGACAGGGGCAGGGGGTGAGGTGAGTGGGCCCCTGGCAGGGCTGAGTCATGGACCAACTGGAGATCAGCCGGTTTGTCCAGGGGTCCCGGTGGGGAGTGGGGGCTCCCACTGCTGCGTGCACCCCGGCACTTGCCCACCCTGATCTGTGTGCGGGGCAGAGGCGGCTACCACTGTGCACTGGGCTGTGTGTGCCGCTGCAGCTGCCTTGGGAGCAGTGCGACGCCAGGTGTGTCCAGCCGCCAGGCGGGCATGGGGTGTGATGCAGCCCAGCAGCAGCAGGCACGTGGTGTCATACCACTCCGTGGGCAGCTGCAGCAATGCACAAAGTCCAGTGAACAGTGACAGCCACCTCCGCTCCATGCACAGATCAGGGGTACATGCCCCCCGGCCTCCACTGGGGTGTTTAGTGGTGGGAGCCCCCCTGTACCCCATACGACCTTTTTAAGTACCCCTAGGGGTACACATACCTCTGGCTGACAACCACTGTCATAGGTTAAAGCAGTGGTTCTCAACTTTTTTGGATCCAAGGCCCCCCTCACTCCTGACCTGCAGGCCCCTGGCCCTTTTGGTGCCCCTCACTCCCAACCCGCAGTCCCCTGGTGCCCCTCAGTCTTGACCCACAGCAGTGGGGGGAGAGGGGGCATGGCCCAGATACCACTGCTCCCCTTGAGGCCTCCTGTGCTAACCCCCCCATCCCACCTCCCCTCTGGCAGCAGGAGGTGAGGGCATTGTGGGCCTCCCAGTCCATTACTCCTCCTGCTGCTGGCAGTACAGCTGGTACAGGAGTCCTAGTGGTTAAAGTGGCAACAATTCTTGCCACCCTGTTCTGCCCTCCTGTGCTAGGTCCTGCTGGTTGGTCCAGCTAGGCTGCAGCCCCATGTGGGACCAGAATTTGGGGGAAAGGGGGGGCCCAGGGAGAAGGCATGTGCCCACTGTTGGCCCCCTGATGCATTGCTTGTTCCCCTGCCGCTCCCCAAACTTACTTGTGAGGAGCTGCTCTACACCGCTGCCTGGCTGATGCATGTATGTGTGCATGTACGCACATGCACACAGTGCCCCTGCTGTATTGGCCTCCTCCCGCTCCCCCCAGCCCCAAGCAGGCTGGAACTCTGCCAGTCTGCAAGGAGAAACTCACAGTTT